CGGGGATGGGAGCGGGGCTGGGGCAGTGCAGCCCTGTGTGCCATCAGTGCCCAGGGCAGGGGTGCTGGGCTCCTGCTCAGCCCCTCCGTACGCTCAGGAAAGCTGGAGAGAAGCTGGCATGGCAGCAGCAGGGATGAAGAACAGCGTTGTTTCCTCATCCTCTGCACAGATAAAGCAACAAAGAGAAACCAGCACAAGAAATTGTCTCCCTGAGCTGCAGAGCGACTCTGAAAATTCAGATAAAGCGGCATTGTGAAGGAGAGGGGACGAACGGGGACAGAAAGCCGCATCCCCTGCTCCGGGAGGCTGGGATGAAGAGCTGGGAAGCTCTGGGAGGCTGGGATGAAGGGCTGGGAAGCGCCGGGAGGCTGAAGGGCTGGGCTGGGAAGCGCCGGGATGAAGGGCTGGGGAGCTCCGGAGCTCTGCCTGCGGCTCTGTCCCGGCTCCGGACGCCTCGGCTGCGCAGCTCTGCAGGTGATTTCTGAAGGCTCTTTGCGCTAAATTCCAGTTTGTAGCCCATTATTTCAGGCAGGATTTTTAAATTCTCTTCTCTGTGAATTGCTGCTAACCCAACAGTGATGGGATAATTAAGGGAGACGAATTAATCAGCTGAATACCATCACCCCGGTCTCCTGTTCTGCTCACAGCTTGGGAGCAGGGACGGCTGCAGCAGGCAGAGGAGATGGACGCGTGTGCCTCGCACACAGACATTCCTGCCCCAATTCCTGCTCCCTGACTTGCCAAGTATGTGCTGGTCCCAATCCCTCGAGTGTTTCTGAGCCACGCCGCTGTTCTCGGGGGGTTGGACATTCCAGGACAGAGCAGAGCAGTGACTCACCCGCAGCAAGTTCACCCACACAGGGAACTTGAAGCCAAAAAAAAAAAAAAAAAAAAGGAAAAAAAAAAAAAAAAAAAAAGCCCAAGACAAGGGGGGTGTCTCTGAAATGAATGGGAGGTGGCTGGCTGAAAAAGAAAAGCTCAGAGGGGAACAATCAGCCAGGATCCAGCCTGCGAGCCACCCTCAGAGCATCCCAGCCAGACACTGGGAGCCATCGTGACCAAACGAGGGGAAAACAGCCCAAAATAAACACGGAGAAAGGGACAGTGACCTCCCTGGCTGCCCCCAGCGCTGACAGGGACTCCAGCGGCCTCGGCTTTATCTTCCTGAGAGCAGTGTGAGACTGCAGAAGCCGCAGGAAAAATGCAGCTGAAGGGAGCAACCAGCCTGCAGGACGATGGAAACCTTCGCCACGAGGGTCGCTGCATCACGGAGCGCACGTGGGACGAGAAATTCCACCTGCTGAGAGCTCTGACAGCAGCATCAGGGAGATTTCCCTGGAGTGGAGCCCCTCCAGAGCTAAGGAACCCCAATAAATGACACCAAACACAATCTCCGGTGTTATCTATACAGTAAGAACATTTAATTCGTGTTGATGCTTGTAAAAGAAGTCTCTTCCAAGTCAGATGATTTGATACACAAATCAAAGCCACCATAAGGTTTTTTTTTTTTCTTTTAGCCTCTCTATACCGAGCTGAAATTTATACAACGTGAATGCTTGTTTCTGCAACAAAATTACAAATTAAATCATAACAAAATACACAAAATTGACTGGACCCTAAGTTAAATTCACTGAAAGATTTCTTTTTTTGTCCTCTGATCACCTTGAACTCTGCTCTTCCCCGTTGTTACCTTCCTCCTTCTGCTTGGCCATGAACTTCTGCAAAAAAAAAAAAAGGGAGGGAAGCAGTGACAAGATGCCGCTGTGTTACTCTTCCGTCCGTGACAAGATCGTGCTCTAAAAACAGGGCAGGGTTGGTAAAGTCAGCCTGCTCCTTACCCTGGAGACGTGTGACCTGCACCAAAAACCACCCCGAGGTTCTGCTCACACATGGAGTCACCAAGCGGTGAAGCTCCCGCGTGGAATTTTTCCAGGGCATATGGCAAAATATTAAATATCAGGAATTTATATTGTGGCAGGGAGCTGTGAAATGTAACACAGTCATTCCACCCTCACCACGGCTGTGGAGTCTCCTTCCAGCAGTCTAGGAAGGTGACGAGCTCGAGGGGTTTATATCTGTGTCCGAGTTTAAAATCCCCTGAGCACGAGCTCCCTGTGCCGCTAGGAAATCGTTAGCGCTGGTTAAAGCAAACATTTTCAGACCCATCCTCTTTTCCCCCGCTGTGTCTGGAGGAGCTCCGCATTACCTCCATGTTCTGCTGATGGAGCAGCGTCTTGCAGTGATTTTTCACAGATGTTTCGTCGGCATAGAAGAGCGAGCAGATCTGACAGAAGAAGCCAGCCTTCGGAACCAGGTAATCCAGATCTGGGGAGACAGCACCCGACGGTAACTACACACAGCTGGAAAACATCCCGATAACAAAACACGGCTTTTTTGAAAAAATAAAAAAAATCAGATTCCTTTAGCCCAGTCTGTACCATTTGTGCCATTTTTTCAGGATTCACAAAATGAGGCTTCTAACCATGCTGGTCGCCTGCCCCGTTTCAGTGAACGGAGGAGGACAGACGGATCTTTCTGCAAACAGGGCAACTGACCTCCTGGGTCTGCAGCGCACGGTGGCTACCGCAGCGTCTCGTGGCCTGAAAAGTATTTTACAGGCAACTGGCTGGCCAGGGTCACCCTCTGTCCTCGTGCTATGCAAGCGTTCGCTGTCCCAGAGGACACGGCACAAGGCACCAGGCAAGGATCTGGGTTTGCCCAGCAACTTCTTTTACGTCTCGAGTGTTATCGGTAGTTTTAGAGAAAAATATTTTAGATGAGGATCTTGGAACAGATATAAAAATACACACATGCACGTCTTAAAACCATGTAGGCAGGTCCCTCATTTCTACACACTGCATTGTGCTAATTATAGATATATTTATATTTTTCTTTTAACATATACATCTATATGTGAGTCACCGTCCCTGGAGGTATTTAACAGCTCTGCAGATGCGGCACTTTGGGAGGTGGTTGAGTGGTGGGCTTGGCCATGTTGCATTTATGGTTGAACTCTATGATTTCAAAGCCCTTTTCCAACCTGAGTCATTCTAGGATAATAAAATAAATCAGCCTGTATTTGTAAATTACATTTTAGGCAGAATGAACTTCCAGTGTTGCTGCTGCTATTCAGCCAACAGCAGGAACACGTTAAGCACACGTTTGTAGGAGCCAAGATCAAATCACAGATGATGGGCCCTGACTTGGAAGTGAAAAGCGGTCAGGAGGCAAAGGAAAAGGAAAGTACGGAGTGTTTGGGGTGGGGTTTTCTGCTGTTACCCTTTGGAGTACTCTGTGTCTTTGAGACATCCGAAGAAGCCGCTTCCTTCTGCTTAGCCTGTGGTTCCTCACCTCCTGATGCCGGCGGATCTACGGGAGGCCACCAACGCACGTTAAACAGAGGTTTCGAGGAGCTCGACACAAACGCCACCAGCACAGCCCTGGCTGTTTCCTACACTATTCCGCTTGGACTTTCCATAGAGGAGTTTTCGGGAACTCCCGCCATCAATCCCACGGCGCTGCGGTGACTCCACAAGCGCTCTCGACCGCACGGCGCTCTGCAGCCACCCCACCGCCTCCCTCCACAGCCCCCAGCAGCAGCTTCCAGCCCGCTTCCTGATCACCGTCACAAAAATCTCCATCTCCTTACAGCCACCAAGCCTTCCTGGGTGAATCCAGCTCGCGGTCCGACAGCACTACTGCAGCTTCGTTCCAGAGGCAGCCAAACCCCCCATAACACACTATGGGACTAACCAGCTCTAAGGAAGGATCAAAATCAACATCTCAGGGTTTCTCTGGAGACAGGGAGTTTGCCAGAGTCCAGACAAACAAGGTGTTTGGCTTTCAGACTCTCAGCTGTTTCCTGTTTCGCTGCTGGAATCAGATTTCAAGACTCCAGTAACACGGTTTTCCTTGCTTTAACCTCTCCTTCCCAGTTTTCTTGTTCCACTAGGAGGAACTAGTCCTTTCCTAAGCCCATCTCTTTTGCCTGAGGTTTTTACAGACTAAACTCACTTATTTACTGTGTATCAAATGCATTTATCATAATTCGTCACCACCAGATGATCAGAAATCAACTGGAGGGCTCAGATATTTTAAGAGGTCTTTTCCAGTGAACTCGCTAAGAGAACATACAAAAATATTCTGAATTTTCAGTAAATGCTTTTGTTAATCATGGGGAAGCTTATGCTCTGTAACATTAACAAGATTAAACAATATATAACATTGAAATATTTTTTGGGTGTGCATGCAGCCAAACGAATTCCTTTCCTAACGTTTAGGGAAACAGAAATCTAAAATACTCCAGTTTGAGCAAGAGTTCTGCTGCTTCTGCAGCTCCTCCGTATCTGCCCTGCTCCCGCTGCCTCTGCTGCGCAACGGGAGACGGGAGAAAAGCTTTTCCAAAGTGCCGCAACAGAAGGTGCTGTGTCAGTGCTGGGCTACATCAGCAGAGAGAGAGAACTGGAGAGCAGGGGACGCATCACGCAGAGCCTTCGCCCAGGGCTCCTGGGTCGGTTATATATAGCTCTGCCTCTCTGGCTCCAGCCTAGACTTCCTTAACCCTTTGCTAACTCCATGCTCCAGATGTTCTTCTGCATTTTTTTTTCCTCTAGATCCAGCTCGGAAGCTGTTACTGCTTTGCATCTGTGTGTCTATTCCATTGGACTCACCTGTGTTAATAAAGTTTGACCCTGTAATTACAGACTATGAATAATCCGTGTCAGGTAGTTTACCAGGTCTTGCCTTAAAAGCGAGAAAATAAATAATTTTCCCCAATTATAGCCATCATGAACACCAAATGAACACTTCAATATGCAGCTTCATTTTACATCAAAAGGAAAACAAACTGTAAAACGCATTAATAAAACATCCTACCTTCCGGCCGCCGTTCCCGCTCGGTCTCCGTTTTTTCCCCAGAATCTCTTTCATTAGCTTTGTCAGTGATCGGGAGCTTTTCAGTTTCCTCTATTTGCTACAAGGATCATTCTGTGCATTTCCTGGGTGCTGGTTACAAGCCTCTCATTTGCTATCTCCCCTCTGGAAACCACGAGCGGTTCCTTACCTTTTGACTTGCAGACTGCATGAGTTTCTTCTTCGGGACTCGTATGTCCTAGAACTTCCATTTCCTCTGGTCCTGCAACAGCAACAATATCCTCCTCCTCTGGTTCTGCAACGGCACCAACTTCTTTTTCTTCTGGTCCTGCAACAGCAACAATATCTTCCTCATCCTCACCCTTCTTCACATTTTTCCCTGGGGAAGTATTTTCTTCTTCCTCATCCTCCTCACCAACTTCATCGACGGTAACAAAGTTTAGTCCCTCCTTCAGGCGATTGAAATCAGCCAGAAAATCATCCTCATCCTCGTTAACTTCATCCAGCGTCACCAGAGGGTTATCCTCGTTGTCCTCTTGTATTTCATCCACCGTCACTAACGCGCTGGGATCGTCGGGCACCTGGGAGGAAGCCCCGTCTCCAGGATCCTCGCCGGCCCCTTTCTCCTCCTCCTGCTTCAGCGCATCCTCGACATTCAAGTCCGTCGGCTCGTTCAGAGGCAGCTCCTCGACCTCACCGATTTCATCCACCGTTACCAAGGGCTCGGCTTTTAAATCCTGCTCCTCAAAAGCTGGCCTGGGGACGTCCTTCTGCGAACGGAGGTCCTCCTGTTCGGATATCTCATCCAAGGTAACCAGCGACTGGGGATTCTTCACCGCTTCCGACATAAGTTCTTCCTCCTCCATCACCTCATCCACCACAACCAGGTTTTGCGGGTCACTGAGCGCTTCTAAATTAGCAGCTCCCACGAGCTGTGCATCCTCCTCCTCACCGATTTCATCCAAGGTGACAAAAGAGAGCTCGCTTTCAGCCACGCGTGCCACGGAGCTCTTCCCTTTCCTCCTCTTGGAGCTGGGCTCAGAGGCCGAGTTGGTTTTAGCACCATCTTTTCTCTTGCCCCTCGGTGGATTTCGCCGCAATTTAACAGGAGACTCGATTTCCTCTACGACCTCATCCACAGTGACAAATTCATCCAGGTTAAATGGAAAGAGCTCTTCTTCCTACAAAGTGTAAAAAAGCGAATATAACAGAGTTTAACACTCACCCGGTGACACCAACGCCTCCATCCATGGAGTGTCTAATGGAAAATATCTACACACTTAAGCTGGCTCAAGGGGGAAAAAAAAAAAAAATGCAACTTGACTTGAGGGTAGAGAAGGATTTTCAGTCTCACATAAAAGAGTTTTAATTATCAGCCTTTGTGTTAAGTAAGCAGAGTGAATTCAGAAACCCAAAGCATTTTTCAAACACAGCAGATGAACAGACAAAACTTACATCTACTAAAAGCACAGGGCTGCTGCGCTGAACACGCGTGTGTGCTTCTGCCCTCCCTTGCAGGAAGAGGAGTGAAAATCTGAACCCCTCTGGAGCACCCTCCAAAGATAGCGCTCGCTACCCTGTGTCACCCTCTCGCCCTCCGCAACGGCCCCATGCTCCAGCCCAGGCCAGGGCTCCCAGTCCCAGCACCTCCTCTGGTTTCTCCAGACCCAACATGTACAATCAGATCATTTTCTCCCTTTCTGGGGCAGAGCTGCTGCTCCTGTGGCAGCCAGGAGCCCAGCTCCAGCGTTCCGGGGAAAGCCTCGCCGTGGTTTTATCTTTACGATGACAGAGCCTGACCCTTCCCAGTCCCCTCCATCAGCTGCGTGCTCTTACTGGAGCACGTCCTCACCTAGAACTCCTCCTGCCCTGCGGTATGACCATGCCAGCTTCCCTCAGGGCTCACACAATTTTTGAGGACCACCGGAAAAAATTAGCAGCAATTTAATGTTATAGATAGCTGAGAACATTGGGAGGAGGATGTAACCGTACGTGTTGAATTGAATTAAAGACTGAATTCACTCCAACTACTCTCAGGTTATTTGAGCAGACAGCAGTCATGGTTTTGGAAGAGAGCACTGTCCTTTGCTCACTGTAAAACAGCAATGCTTTTATCATCAGGATGGTAGGACAAGGTGGGTAAGATGGGTAGTTAAGCCAATTAATAAATTCATTTTAGAAAACGAATATCCATTGCACTTAATTATGCAATTAAATTTCTTTGATGAATGATTCTGAAAAAAAATTTTTTTTTTTGCGGAATATTCCATCCTACTGTCAAATACTGGTCGATATCTAACATAAAATGAGTGAAAAAACCCTTGTCAAAGCAGAACTTTAAGGCCAAGGCAAGATGAACTGTCCTCTGTTAGAGATTAAGATTGCAGACACATACTACAAGCAATCCTCCAGCAGGAAAAGTAATCTGAAATTCAAAGGCTCCAGGCCTTTTCTTCTTTTTTTTTAAAAAAAGCTAACAAATCCTAGGAATAGTGAGTGCTTCCAGCCACGTTCTAGTGCAGAAACTTGAAGAATGTTTAACGCAAGGTGGGCACAGTGGAAAAAAAGAAAGAAAATATCTGGTTACGCTTCAACTGGAACCAAACATAGCGCGTTCTTTGTTCTGCGAAAAGGAGAGCGCAGAGCTTGGTGCTTCTCGGCTGCTAACAGCGCAGAATAGAGCAGCAAGGTGTAACCGGCGTTACGGCGGCTTTTTCCAAAGAGTGCGGGATTTCCTCGCAGGGATTAACAAGCACACCTGGACCAGCAGACAGCAAAGCGCTCTGTTACCATCGCTGCCATCACCTTCACGCACACACCGCACTGGTGGTGCGAGAGGTCCGTAGGGATCCAGACCCATAAAAGGACTGAGGTCTGCAGCTTTATCTCAGAAATCCCCTCTCCATAGGGACCCGCCACTTACCTGGTACAGCTTGGATTTGATCCTCTACTGCTACAAACTCATCAATATGGCTTTTTATTACCTTCCTTCTGCTTTTCTTTCCCAAAGCCCGAGCTAGCTAAGAGAAAGAGGGGCTCTCTTCTCACCTTCCTGTAAAGCTGCAGACCGAGCGGTCCAGCCTACGAGCTCCCAAGCTCTTCTTCCAACCACCACTGCCCCAAAAATGCCCAGTAACCCTTGCTGTGCAGAACAACCCACTGGAAATATCTTTGTGTGGGAGAGGCACCATGGCTGGAGATGTTCTACCTCCCGGTATACTGGGCAAGTGGGGATCCAATTAATTAGTTCTCTCTTTTTCAAACAAATAACATCTGAGACAAAAAAAAAAAAAAATCCTCATTTTACCACTCCTTGAATTCTTTCCAAAGGGCTTTACAGGTTTATGCCCCTAGTCTGTAACAACCTGTAATAGCAAAAATTCCCTGGGGAAGGATGTTAAAGGCTCTCAGTACACACACACACACACACGCACAGTTTCAAGACAATCTGTACTTTAAGCCCAGCTGTGGGGACTTCCTTACCTCCTTGTGTTTTGCACTGCTGTTAGTGCCACCTTTCGAAGCTTTAGTATTGCCACCACCAGAAGCCTGCAAAATTAGACAAAAGTTCACAGAAAATCAGTTAAGCTAACTAACCTGTCCACAAGATTAAAAAAAAAAAAATAAAAATGCAGATATTTTTTTGTTTGGTTGGGTTTTTTTTGTTTTTTTTCCCTTAACGAACTTTTTAAAGTTGTCCCAATTGCTGCTTCTGATCACAGGCTTGGCAAATACAGAACTAAGCCCACCGTCAGCGGCAGAGTCCAGGCATACAGTCTCTAGCAGCAAGTCACGGGTAACACCTTGCTTAGCAGGCTCTTTTCAGTAACCAGGGTCTGTGCAGGACTTGACAAAGCAAATATCAGCTCACCAAAGGACAGAAAGCTCCTTAATTCCCATTCAGAACTAATCCAGGAACATAAAGTTACAACACTCAATAAAGACTCACGTCAAAAACCGGTTACGTACTTGTGTTGCACACACTGCATCTAAAAGCAGCCGGGTGCCCGCCAGCTCGCTATTCCAACTTCTCTGTTGGCCCAAAGCAGCTGGGTGATTTACAGAAAAGGGAAGGGGAACATAATCTCCTTGTCCCGCACTCAACAGCTGAGAGAAGCATGGAGTGAGTTAGTGACCAGGCACACGGGACCGGCCTTCCTGCCCTCCTCACCTTATTGCTGCCGGTGTCTTTCTTCGTGCCGGATGATCTACTCTCTCCCTCTTGAGACAGTTTCGAACTAGCCCTAGATTCCGCTCGCGAGTCCTTCTCTTGCTGGGATGGGTTCCTCCCGTTCTCTCCCTTTCCATCGGCAGCAGAACTTCTCGCTTTACATTCACCGCCGCCATCTCCCAGGCTCGATCGGCTGCTGCCAGGTCTCAGGTGATCCACTTCTTTGGACGCGATTTTCTTCTCCAGCGCTGCTCGGGCTCGGGTCTCGGGCCTGGAGGGAGCTTTCTGTTCCCCTCCTTTGCACAGGGAAAGCTCATTTCTCCGTCCTGGAAACCTTGACTTGGATATATCCGGTAGAGACACCACTGCCTTCAAAATCATTTTACTAACAGAGGAAGATTCCTTGACAGATAAAGAGGAGTTTAACAGAACTCCTTTGCGGGTTTCATCAGTTTTTGCTGGTCCTGCTCCTTTATTTTGAGGGGCTTTGATTACACTTCCCTCCTTGTTCTCGCTGACAGCATTTGTAGTGGTTTCCACAGCAGCCCCAAGCTTGGCCGCAAATTTTTCAAGTTTCTTCTCTGTCTCTGCCCCAGTCTTGACCAAAAGCTTTCCAGGGTTCTCCTCTGCAGCTCTTCCAGCTTGGAGCATGGACTCTTCTGGTTTCATCTCTCTGTCCACTCCAGCTATGTCCAGTTTCTTCTCCACACCTAGCTCAGTTTTAAATACAGGTTTCTTCTCTGTTATCTGAGTCATGGGCATTTCATGTTCGGTTTTCACAGCATCAGAAAGAGGATTTTTTTCAGGAGCTTCCAACTTGTTGTTGGGTTGGGTGACAGCAGGTGACACCATCTCCACTGCAGCTGCACCAGAATCGGGCAGCAGCACTTCAGGGACAGCCCCGGTCGTGTCCCCTGCTGCCGGCTTCACATCACAATCTGATGGCACCTCTTCAGCCTTGCACACACGGGACAATTCTTCCGGGGGTTCAGTGGCAGAAATCGACAACTCTTCCTCTTTAACTTTCTTCTCCGACACAGGTACAAGAGCAGATTCAAACCACTCTGGTTCAGTCTTGACTTTAACTGCCTCGTCCTTCAGCGCGCTGGAAGGCGGCAGCAGCATCTCTTCTGACTTCACTGCAGGTGACTCGGTATCAGCGGATGTAAGAGATGCCCTAGCACCTTCAGCTCCAGCGCCCGCTTTCTGCACAGACATTTCCGCCAGTCTCGGGGCAGACTCCCTTACCGCTCGTTCCAGATGGGGCGCCGAGGGCTCTATCTGTCCTGCTGACATCTCGTCTTTGACATGAGGGATGGAAATGGGTCCTTGCTTTGCCACACTAGGCTCTACTGGAGGATTAGCAGCTGCTGTTTGCACCACTCCTGATCCCTCTGGATACTTTTTCAAGTCAGAGCTAAATGCATTTAAAAAAAACAGAAGAAATCAAACTATGTAGAGAATTCTACAGTTAGCAGTAACCTCTTGACGCCAATGGTGGGGGATTTCCTGATGCATTAGTGCTTAGCATTTGGAAATCTAGCCTAGCAGTGTTAAAACAGTTAAAAATACCGAGGCGAACAGGTGATTAGTTTTACACTTCTGTTTAATCCACCTCAGCACCGGAGCCTCTTACACTCCCAGGGACACTACTGGCAGTCAGACCTCTCCAGGTGGCACTCCCTGCAGACGTGCCCTGAGACCTCAGCACCGGCATCAGCTCCTAAAATTTACATCTCATGATGCAAGGCAGGCTGTGAAAGCAAATATACAGCGAAAATAAAGCTTGTCTCTGTGTACAAAGGAATTACCATAGTTTATGTCTGAAGACAGCAGACTCTGCGGTCACCAACCTAGAGAACTCTTCCAGCAGCTAGAAGTCTGAAGTTTGCCTTTTTTTTTTTTTTTGGTTCAGGTTTGGGGAGAGGGAGGGGTTGCTTTGTTTTTGAACTGCATTGACCTCACACGACAGCTGGGAACACCAGCCAGACACAGAGGCTCCGTCTGGCCAGGCTCTGTCTTCTCTGTGTGACCCCACTGGCGGCTCCCAGGATGACAAAGCCCCAGGTGACAATGCAGGGGACGGCGCTTCTCAGGGAAGCTGAGCTACAGCAAGTGCATTATTCTCCTCTGAAAGAAAGAATCCTCCATAGGTGACCTTCGCAGACACTGAAATTAGAGATGTCTGGGCGCCTTTTAGTCACAAAGCTCGAGAAAACGAGCATCCCAACACCTCACGCATCCCTAGACAGAAAGGTGCTGAAACACCAACACTGACAGTCTCGCTAAGTGTCGGAAGCTGCAAGAGGGGAGATTGAGCTGAGATATTGGGAAGAAATGTTTTCCTGTGCGGGGGGTGAGGCAGTGGCCCAGGGTGCCCAGAGAAGCTGTGGGTGCCCCATCCCTGGAGGGGTTCAAGGCCAGGCTGGATGAGGCTTTGGGCAACCTGGGCTAGTGGGAGGTGTCCCTGCCCACGGCAGGGGGTGGCACTGGGTGGGCTGGAAGGTCCCTCCCAACCCAAACCGTTCTGTGATTGTATGAAACAAACACAAAAGCAGCAAAGACACGTAATTAATCTGTGTTTATGCACAGACTGAATGGAGCAGCCTGCACCAAGGGTTCTCAGAATCCGTGTACACGAAGAAAGAATGCACGTTTGTATAAACCCTCGTGAAAATACAAAAGAGCAGAGAAAGAAATCTGCCATTTGGGAAGCACTCCCAGCATGAAGTGAGCAAGAAAACGGAAGGCTGGACCAAACGGAACTCAGCACTGAAGGAAATACCGCGTCTTGAAGTGGCCAGATGCAAGGGTCAGCGAGACGAAGACACGACACGTGGAGCCAACAGAAAGATGACACCAGGCAAGCTCAGTTAGCATCTGTGCGATGCAAGCTAAACAGAAACATCCATCTCAAAGGTTTCCTCCAGACCCAGGGCACTGTCCTCTGCTGCTACAAAATGTCAGGAGAGAGCAGACGGGATATGAATTCTGCTTCAAAATCTCTTCCAAACCCCCATTTAAAATTGGCATTGATGCAATATGATGGCGACACATCAGACGTATACTTGCAGCACGCTGGGAGGGCACTCCTCCCCAGCAAGGCAGCAGGACCGCAGCGCTCTGCAGCAGGGTGGGCAGCGCTGGCAGGAGCGGTGGAGTGTCCCAGCTCCCCACAGTGCCCCACAAATGTTAGCAATCTCCTTCAGAGCCCGTCAACTCCCAGTAACCGAAGTCTTACGGAAGAAAAGAAGCCTCACTTGTTCAAAAATCACGCCCATCTCTAAGAGGGTGCTTAGACCTGGAAAATCAATTTAAGCTCGTTACTTGCAGATGTTTTGGGGTAAGTGTGCCTCAGGAGTGGCTGATCTGCTTTTTATGCCCCAGTATTGGCTTACTCAGTCACAACACAGAAGATGTTTTAACATTAAGTTTGTGTTCCAAAAGCTAAAACCGTCTCAGTTAATTTTCTCTTCTATTTGAGCACCCTACAGACCTCTGAGATTTACATCTCATGTGTCTGCGCAGCAAAACACTACCTGGGGAAGTCAGAGCACAAAGCCAGAGCGCAGCTCTGAAAGCCCAGGCTTGTCACTGATGTGTGGAAAGCTTAATTAGATACAAGCTCTAATGCCTTGCTGAACGTAGCCTCTGTTTTCTGAAAGGAATGGAAAAACGTCAGTGAACACTGGAACCATACCGTAACTATGAGTAGCACACGTGTTATCCTCTACAGAATTCAAATGAGACATTAGTCTCTGAATCCTCAGGACTTTACATCTCCTTCCATGCCAACACCCGCTCTGTGCCTTCCACTAGGCGCTGGGGGTCTCCGAAACACACCGAGAGATTCAGACTGGCCGGTGGAGCCACGGAAGGAGGCTCTGCAGAGGCGGCGATGCACAGAGATAAAGATGAGAGAGCCGGATGAAGCCTCAAAGAGCTTCAAGTAACACTTAGAAGACCTGTCAGACATTGGGAAGGAAACAGCATCCAGACCTGCAAGACAGATTTCTTGCACAGCAGCTTTTGTCCAGGGCAAAAATCACCAGTGCCCAGTGCTGGGTTTCTGCACGGCGGGTTGGAGAACAACCCCGCTTCCAGAACCAGGTTTTTTCAAGATCCCAGCAACTGAGGGCAGCCCCTTCTGCTCCCCAAAATTTTGCCACTCCTTCCCTCCCCAGAAACACATGACAAAGTCTTCCCATATATAGTAATTGAAGATATTTTCTGCTTCTCATAAAATGTAACTCGAAAGAAGAACTGGTCAGGTCACAAAGGCTTACAGGGAGAAGACAGCTGCCTCAGAGAGGAGAATGTGAGCACTGTTTGTTGGGGAAAATGTCCTTTTCCATCTGCTCAGAGCCACAGCAGGATGCTGGGCAGCAGCTGGGATTCAGGGGAGAGCCGCTCGTTTCCGTTAATTACCAGCACTGACTAAAACCCACCAGCCTGCAATCGAAAAGGTTCCCTGCATGGCTGCCTACCCAGGAGTCAGAGACAGTTTAGAAATAAAATGTGTCCAAAATTGACTGAGCAGAAGTTTCAGGAAATCAGGAA